ACAACGTGTCCTTAACGTAGAGATTGCTTGTGACCCGGATAATCCTCGTGGGATATTAATATATTAGGCGGAAGTTTCTTATGTACTCGCACAATATAGTTATGGCTACAGTAAGTTGGTCGTATCTGAGTAGCGTCCATATTATTTTATACAGAAAATGTAGATAAAAACGCAAACAAAACAATCTTTATAGTGATTTATAGAATTCATCTCAGTCCTTTGTTATATAAAATATATAACAATATTTTTATCATTAACGAGTTATTAATGTTTATTTTGAGATGGTAACTTTGAAAGTTTTCCTGTTTGATGGATAGCAAGGGTTGGTAATTTCTTGGCTACGATCAATCAAATAGAGTCAGCAGAATGCTAGGAAAAATAAGTTGTTACATGATAGGTGCTTATTGTAGAAAAAAAATATTTTATTTATATTCTAAAAATAAAAAAGATCTTAAAATTAATTTGAAATCTTAAAAATAAAAATCTCTAAAATTAAATTTTCTCATCATAAAACAAGATTTAAATAAAACTTAATCAAAACAAGCTCAGGCGTTTAGACGTGACATAAGACTAATGTCATAAGCAAGTTGAAAGACAGTGAAATGAATAAAGAATTTATCAAATCTCATATACTGATGTGGACGTTAACGCTTATTTTTTATATTTATTTTTGTAACGTCCGACTCTACATTTGAACTCAATTTAAACTTTATCAGAAATAAATGTTTATTTTTAACGATTTAAAATAAAATGAAGTCTTAGGACAATTAATATTTGTAAAAATTTTGTTGTCTTCTACAGATGTTCCTCTTGATTTATTACTGATTTATAAATATAAATAAATGACTGCTGACAATATTGGACAATTGTTATATAAGCGAAAGCTTATAAGTTAGTTATCACTAATTATAGGTCACCTAATATATTAAGTTCCTCTAAAACATAAAAGAATAAATATAAATAAATATAATAAATATGTTGGGACATTAATACACAGCAACATCTATTTCCATGGTAACTTACGAGGCTTGTGTTATGGATACCAGATAGTTGATAGACTACACATATATAACTTAAAATACATACATATTATAAATATAATAGTGGTGTTCATATACGATTTGTGTATTTTTCTTCATATCGATTCTAATATCTTAAAAACTTTAAGAAAAAGTACTATATATGACTATAGTGTATTTTCTTAAAGTGAAATGAGAAATTTATGTAACATGCAAAGTGCAAATACATCAAATGGAAAAAGATATACATACAAATGTATGTATCTTTACAATTAATATACATATATTCTGTCCGTAGGTACACAATAATTTTTAGCCATATTTATCAATTTTATTTCAGGACTTTCATTACATGTAGGCAGTGGTAACGCGCTCGCTTGGAAAACCGAGTGAAGCGGGTTCAATCCAGGGTCTCACACCTCTCACCCCAACGTGTGTTCACCTTGTCGTGGTGGGGGGGCTCAGTAGTGCCCGGCAATACAGCCGGGCGCGAAGACAAGAAACGCACAGGGAGGTGGCCCACTTCGGTGGGCGGTGGGAGGTGGCCCTCCTCGGAGGGCGATATACCATGCGGGTTGCTCCTGGTACTTCTCTGATAGCAGAGTGGACCTCGGAGCAACCCCGTGATTGTTGTGGTCTGCTTCGGCAGACCTGCCGTCGAGGCATCGTAGTTGAATGCGTAAGCGATCCTGCGACGCCCCATTAAGACGGGGGAAGGTTTTGTTGGGTTTAAAAAAAAAAGGGTCTCGCATCTGATATTTTCATGTGCGAATCATTTCTAACATGATTACTACTTGCCTTACGGTGAAGGAAAACATCGTGAGGAAATCTGCATGTCTGAAAGAACCTAGCAAGTTTTCGAAAGACATGTGAACGCACTTGGCCAGCGTGGTGGACTATAACCTGATCCGCCTCGTATTCCTCGAGGAAGGCTCGTGCCCAACAGTGGGACGTTAAAAAGGGCTAAATACATAAATTATCATTATATGATTTTTTCTCAATTTTATTTGATAAAGGTTATACATTACACTTTTAATACAAAGAGATTATTACAACAATTAATTACTTTACTTAACTAGTTTCCCCAAACTCATAACAAAATGGGGATGGATCATAAAATTGCTACGATAATTAATCTTTCTGTTATCCTTAGTGACATCATATCCAATTCTATATTATATCTGTAGATTTTTATTCCATACTATACATGTATGGAAACCGCCCAGAACACATAGGATCACAATTTGACAATGTAGTCTAGTCAACAAGTGCCTTTTAGGTCAACTTTTTTCAGCAGTTTCAGTAAAAAATCAACGAGATGTCATTCGATTCGGAATGAGACGTAGATGATTTTTGAAAAAAATCAAGTTCCGCTTGCAAAAATTGCAAAAATTATAACTCAAAAACTAATTGATATTTTTCAAATATAAAAGAATATTCAAAAAGAAAATACCTAGCACAAAGTCTCAACTCTCGGAACTGTAGGACCAATATTTATAATTTTCTCAGAGGGATGAAAAAACGGTTGCTCTGACTTGCGCAAGCCACGCCAACTTCGGACACTTTATCAATAAATATTATTAAAACTTAATAAATATGAAAATTAAGAATTTAAAAAATTCAGACATCTACTGGATAGATAAATGAACAATAACCTGCAGTCAAAAAAATATGTTTATCGGGATTTTTTTTATCATTTATGCAATAGTTAATTAACTATTTCGTCCTATTTGAACACGAATTTGCAACTGCGATAATTGTTAAATAACAAATCTGAGATTTTTTCTTTTTTGGAGCTATTTTTGAATGGTCTCTGAAGAGATTCCCGTTGGAAAAATTAAATTGTTTTTTTTTTTCATTTTGTTATGAACAATTATATGTTATGTTCTATTTTAGTTAAAGCCATCTTCACTGAAGTCGATTAGGACAGTATTTATTAAAAATACATAGAAAGTTTTGGTACATAACAAGTCATTGTTACCTCATGGAGTCTCTTAGATTTACGGGAATTTTTAAAATTACGCGTTGTAAAGTACGAGAACGGAAAATCAAAATAAATCAGTAAAAAGCGATTTAGAGGAAATTCTGAGATTTTCATTTGTGATAATTTCAATCATTAATATCATGGGGAAATTCGCACATCAAGCTGCCTTTAGCTAACGTGGTCGACTGCGACAGAGGTGGGAATGTAAAATGATAAATTATTGTTATTCGTGTTTGCGTATGTTCGTAATTCTTCTCCTCCTAACAACTCATAAAAAATGTGTACTTTTTGTTCTTCATTATAACTATCATATCCAAGTGGATACCTAGTCCAGGTAGTTCTGTTGTCGAAGTCTAGAAATTTTCTTTTAAAGATAACAAATAATAATGAAAGGAAACGTCCGTCTGGTCCGCTAATTGTTACATATTATATTATTTTTTTTGATATATATATATTTTATTTATTTTTTTATTTATTATATTTTATACAAGGAACTTAAAGAGCCACGTTAAATATAAACACAGGACAAGCACCAAGGGTGAGATGCTCAAAACATAATTTTATTAACGTACTGATTTTAAGCTGTCATGAGCATGCAGGCTCGCTCAGATCACATTAATAACACCAAATTCACTTTACCTGAGAGCGTAAACGCTTATAAGTTGAGTTTATAACTTCGGCGATTTCAAACACTGAAATTTCATTTATGTATTTTTAGAATCGTTCAGTTTATTGAAGTCAAACTTATTTAGGTGACCACGAGAGGGGAAAGAAGGATTGGTGTTACGATTTTTGTAACGGAAACGGTTACGGAAGTTAAACTTATTTTTTAAACTACTATACTCGTATGAATATTTCAAAGAATAAACTAAATAATAATAGAAATTTAGACATTGATACATGCACTTTTTCATTTTTTATTTAAAACAAAAATTCTCACCGGCTCTTCATAATAGGAGCAAATAAGATAGTATAATGTAACACATGAACGAAGGTTAATTTGTTAATTATATGTAACAGAACAAATTAATGTAACTTATGACATTTTCGACTCTTGATATAATTTTATTATACATAAATTACGATAATCCATTGCTTCGTAAAGCTGAAGGGTTTTTTGTTTATTTAAATGCACCTATTTTTTGACTCACCGATCTGATTAAGAAATATTTTTGTTGCATTTTATAGCCTATTGAGTAATCTATCTGAATGATATATCTATACGAATCTATACTAACGAGAGGGAGCTACGGACAAAAGCTAGCTTAGATTTAGCTAGCTAGGATTTTCCTAATACATTTTTAAATCTTATACAATATAATTATACATATTTGTTTGACGCTTACCATTTTTCATAAAAATCAATTTCGTTATTTAAATATAACATGAGTTGATATTTTCTTTACATCTTTTATGTACAGTACTAATTTTACTTACTCTAAGAATAATATTTTTGTACTAAGAATAGACGAGATGCTACGTAGCAGCGGCGCATCATTGTTTACACTATCTTTATTAATACACGTAAAACAATGTACAATGTTTCGTAGCTTTTCTATCTTTAACTTAGGATAGGAAAAAGCATTGTTTTTTTTTTATAATATGAAATTACTTGATTGTATTGGGTACTTTTTATAATATAAGAATGCTTAAAACTGAAATTTCAGGCTATATCTAAAACTCTATTCCATTAGAAATATATATTTAATACAACAAAAATATACACTTAGACTCATACGTACTGGTATACTTAAATCTTGAGTTTTAAGTCTCGGACATGGAAAAAGATTACAAAATAAAAAAAATATTGTGCATTATTTTATTAAGCCAAGTGGTAGCCCAGTGGTAACGTGCTCACTTTGAAAATCGAGAGAAGCGGGTTCAAATTCCGGATCTCGTACCTCTGATATTTTCATGTGCGAACCGTTTTTAACATGATTGACACTTGCCTTTCGGTGAAGGAATAAATTATTATATTATTTTATTATTTATTCTAGGGTGCCTACCCCTCGGGGCTCGGTTTCAAGCACGAGCAGTACTAGCACAGGTTCGCGGCTAGCGCGTTTACTTACCCAGGGGGTGCGAGGCACCCCCGAAGAAACTGGCGCTGATACACCTCGAAGACTAAGTTGGGAAAGGTAAGATTCATTAATAATCTCCGTATTATGTGTAATATTATTACGATATTGTTTTTTTTATTTGCTTAAACGTGCTTATTTCTGGAACTACAAGTCCCAATTCAAAATATATTTTTGCATTTTAAAGACTATTTATTAAGGAACGTTAAGGTTATCGAACATTGCGCTAAAAATTTAAATATAAATGTAAAACACGACCAAAGCCGCGAAGAAAACCGAGTATTAGTCAAATCCTTAGTATACTATGAGTAATTTTAGCAGTATTACTATAGGTTATATTATATATACAGTTTACACTGACCAAGAATGCTGTATCGTATTTTCAGAGGTGATAAGCTTGATTGATATTTAAGAATAATTCACTATATTGGATTTCAATAGTCTCGTGCTATATATTTATTATCTATATCTATACATACCTGTAATAAAATTGTAACTAAGCCGAATCTGTACATTCAATATTTTTTGGAAAATCTTATTGTAATAGACATTATTATCGATACAGAGGCCGAATCTATAGTTTTTAGAATTTTTGTTTGTCTGTCTGTCTGTTACCACATCAGGGAAAAACTACTGGAGGGATTTTGATGAAACTTGGTATGATGATAGCTGGTTATCCGGGTCAACATATAGGTTACTTTTTACTGCGGGAAAATCTTTCATCTCTGATAAATCTATACTAATCGTTAAAACGTAGGTAGGGACGAACCCGAGCGGAGCGAGGGTGAGTCGCTAGTATTTCAATAAGATGGTAAAATTATAATATTGTGTAGGTCTAGGTATTAACTTTTTACGAAAACATTTTGCCCTGTAGCTTAACGACGTACATTATACGATATGGAATAAACGCGAAATTCCCTTCGTGGCTTGTCGCGAGGCTTAGCATTGCATAGCAGTCATAGTTAAACCACAGTTTATGCAATAATCTTTTGGCAAACTTTTGCGATAGACAGCCACTTCTCGAGAGGCCAGAAAAGGAGAAACATTACTAAATAAAAAAAACATTTAAAAGTAGATCCGTCCACATTGTTCTACACTTGTCTGTCACGTACTTAGTTCTTATTTAAACAAGTTAATACATTTAAATCAATTTTTTTATCATAGTATGCGAAGCAGTCAGTTATACTGAAAGTATATTTATATTTTCCCTCTAATATCTTCTTTAGATGCATCTCAGTGACAGAAAGCATTACAATAATATAACCTTTAGGTGACAGTAATACTATAGAGCAGTTGTGAATACGGTAACGTAAATACTTTGTATGTGTAAATGGAAGTAGCATTGAAATATTGAATCGACAGGATTTTTCCACAAATTTGTTACAATTTTTGTTACAATATACTGTGACGTGTTTCTTCTTTGGAGTTATTAATCTATTTCTTTCTTATAAACATGCGTAGGTATAATTATTATGTTTTTATATCTATTATTTATATTTATATTATTTACGGAAAACATAACAAATCTATCCCTTGGGAATATATTATTCCAGGATAAAAAGTAACCTATGTGTTGTGCCCTAATTAACCTATAGTAGCCCTAGTTTATAGGGTTGACAGGTATCTTGCCACGAGATGGCACTACAGATGGCTTCATCTTCGAAACTACTTACTATGAAAATTAGTATTTTTGGAAACTCTTTATTATATCTGACTGGACTTTTCTCAAGATTTTTCTAAATGTATAGATATTTATGCTGAGTTGCTGACGTATATCTCTGATTCTGTTGAAATCTTATTATATAGACAACTAGCATTGCCCGCGGCTCCGCCCGCGTTCAGATGACCAAAAGCCAAATTCTTAGGTTTTACATATAAATACTTACATTGCAGTTTTTGTATTTTTTCTCAGAAATAAAACATTTTCCCGTGGTAAAAAGTATCCTATATGTTGACCCGGATAACCAGTTATCATTATACTAAATTTCATCAAACTCAGAGTCTCTCTCTCCGTCCAGTCCGTCCAGTGGTTTTTCCGTGATGCAGTAACAGACAGACAGACAGACAGACAAAAATTGTATATGGCTGTATTATTTAGTAAACTTATTATTTTCATTCTATTCACATATGGCTTTTACTTCAAAGTTATAATATATGCGCACGTGATTTTGACATTTAATCCTATTTCCATATCATCAGAACATGTTTTAGTAAAGCATGACATTACTGGAGGCATGCTTAACTATATTTGTTGCCTTGTTAGTTCAAATCAATATAGTTTATGAGAACTTCAATAAATGTATGAGATCAAAGTTATATGTTATGAACTTGATATATTATGTATGTATATGCTAATACGAATTGTTTTAGCATTTGCTTATGTGTTTGTTTAGCCTTATTGGTCTAGTGGTTAGGACGAACGGCTGCAGAATCGGAGGTCGTAGATTCCAGTCTTATATAGGGCGAAATGTTTTTTTGTTGGCTTACGAGTGGTGTTGTCAAATATATCTGAGTAACACTCGGAGTTAGGAAGTTTTTGGTAACTGTTGTTGGTGGTTGACGGAAATAGATCAGGAGGACAATTTTATGTTATGTATAAATAAACAACTCTACATAACTTATAAATGTAAATAACTCTATATAAATTCTAAGCTAATGAAGTAATAATATTTTAAATAATTTATTGATTTAAGAAAATATATAACAAATATGGAACCTATCACTATAACTCATTAAGGCGTTCAGAAACGCTGTATGTTTTATGAAATGACGAATAAAAAATAATTATTCGTCCTTTATAAAATATATAAATATAAGGAAAGATGAATAGACTAATAAATAAGTAGAATAAGTAGCTCGGCTCAGATAGGTAAGTTAAGGTTATTTTTTTGCATATAGAAACTCCTGCATCTCCAAAATACATATTTTACATTAGAAAACAAAAAATGTGCTAAATATTCATACAAACCGAAAATAATCAAAGGAATAAATATATTCATCCTTTAATAGGACCAATAGACACTCCGAAATATTAAAAATAAATTTCAGTTTCAACTAATTTGTAGTTCCTATTTCTAAAAAACATATCAATAGTTTTTCATCCGATTTACATTGAAATTAACGATTTAAACTCTGTACAAGCTTGTGTTTTTTTTTTCATTTTCGCTGCCAGTTAGTTTAGTGCAGTTTTCGTATCGAATTCGAAAGTGTACAGCGTTTGTTAAAAGTTTATTTTGTTTTCTGTAAACTCCTAAAATCCTTAAAATTGGATGTAGGAACGCCTTTTTAATATTTTTTTTAGTCATTGTAAAATTTTATACACATAATATACTTTTCGGCTATTTTACTTATATTAATACATGGAAAATATTAATAAAGTAATTAGTAAATTAAAGAAAAAAATATCTGACTATTATGGCATTGTAAAAGTATGCCTGAAAATAGAAGAACATGTGTGTTATATCTACAATCGAGACATATTACTTTCCTTCTAAGGCATTCGGGTAATAAATAAGTTTTAGCATTCGGTCACGTATGGGCTTTAATTTAGTATATGTACGTTAGAACTTAGAATTATATTAGCTTTATAAATTAAATAAAAAGTTTTATCTAGTAATCGAACTTAGGACTGTCATCACATATGACAAATTTGTAACCTGTATATTAAATACCTTGTATAATAAAGCTGAATAATTTTAAAACAGTTTGTTTGTTTTTTTGTTTGAAAGCACTAATCTCTAGAACTACCAGTCCGATTTGAATAATCTTTTTTGCATTTGATAGCCCATTTCTTAAAAAAGATTATAGGCTTTACACTAGCGATACATTTTTTTTGAGCGGAACCCTAATTCTTTTACTGAAATAAAAGTAGCCTAAGTTACTCCTTATAACATCAACACCTGCCAGTGAAAGTCCCGTCAAAATCGGAGATTAGCCGGAACAAACAGACAGAGAGACAAAATTTATAAAAATTGTGTTTTTCTTCTAAATACCATATATAATTCCATATGCATTTAGTAAAAAGTTGTTATTTTGACATTGCAAACAGACACTTCAATTTTATTTATCTGTATAGATGTATAGATTACGTTACGGCTTTACGCATGACTTTTAGGGTCGAAACAGTTATACCTAAACACGATTAAAACCGCGTGAGAAACTAATAAAAAAATATTTTAATTAAACACTGAATTCATACTAGTGACCAGACTTTGCTCAGTTTCAATAAAGCACGTATCAGCAATCAAGTTGTTTATCCGGATTCTATAGGTCGCGTCTTGACACAATGGGGTCGCTGCTTGGATATATAGCGCCGTTCATCTTACACCGGCAAAAGCATTGGTATAACGTTAATGAAATCATGTAAAAGAAAAATAAAGGCTGAATGAACATTTCAAAGGTTTTTAAGGTTTTTTACATATTTTCACTCGTTTAAATAATATTTTCTTAGATTAACGCGATTTTTTGACATTTTAATTAAAGGTTTGTTTACTTAAATCCGCGAAATATCCCAAACGATAGGTTTATTCAAAGTTTTCATTCGATTAGTTCTACGAGTAATTTGATGGATTTTGAGCATGTTTTTCTTATGGTAGCTAAGACACAGATCAGATCAAGTTAAAAATGTGTTCATTCGTTGGTTAGTAGATTTTCTATATTCGAGAAAAATAATGGAGCAATAGATCGACGTTTTTTTCAGCTTAGAATATAGTTTATGGTCTGAAGAGTAATATAGTATATTTTTATGGTACATTATGCGATTCCTATTGGATATTATTAAGTGGCAGATAATATTGAAAAGCACATTAGTCCAAAGAACTACCAGCGACGGGCCGATCACTAGCAGTGTATAAATAAATACCTATATAATTATCCCATTTTCGTCAATGTAAGTTGGCAATCCCATACTTTCGTAACACTTTGCTTATCTGAGCCATCGCAGCGCCCTATACGCATATGTAAATGTATAAGTCCATACTAATATTATAAATGTGAAAGTTTGTGAGGATGGATGGATGGATATCTGTTTCTCTTTCGCTCTAAAACGGCTGAATGGATGT